TAATGTACAACCACTAAAATGTGAACTTTCAGTAATAAATGAGAAACTAATTGCAAAATTTCTTTTCTGTCAGAATTAGTTTGGCTATTTTGAAAAATCAGCTGTAAGTGTTGGGATTGAGACAGAGACTCAATAATTTGCAATTTGTTTTGAAATAAAGTCAGTTTAATATGCTCTGACCCTAGAGTAGGAACAAGGAAAATACTACTTTTGAGAATATCAATATTGCTTCTCAAATTTAAACATTTAATTTTTACTCTGTTTACAAAAAAAAAAAAAAGGATTTGACTACAAAGAACAATAGTTTAGGTACTAGAATTTGCAGACTTTATCTTCATCACACTTATACAAAGAACATACACAATTAGCTCACCCGTCCCTTCCCAAATTGATTCATTAACAGGTTTTGAAGATTTCTGCTAATGGTTGTAATAACTCACTTATAGTGTTAGCACACCAAGCCCTTCCCAACAATTCCCTCCTAGCAACTTTTCCAAGATCTGCCCCATCAGTAAACGATTTTGGAAGGCCTTCTCCATCTCAACAGTAAGCAGTGGTTTTTCAATACCATCTTCAATCACAGGTAACTTTTTAGAACATCCTTTTCCTGAAATTATGAAAAAACACACTAACAGTTAAAATTCTTTTAAAATATAAATAATATGTTGTTGTATACCTGTTACTTGGGAATGATAGGTAGTTGTCAATTTGGGCAGTATGGAGACATTTGCCTTCCTCCCATATGACAAGATTTCTTGCACATGACCGACTTTTGCTGTACCTATTGGTGTCTCTGCTTCACCAAACACAGGCAAATTTCCCCAAAAAATACGAGGCCGCTTCATGTACCCAAATTTGTTTGCATTGTGAATGCTGGGCTTCACTCCAATAATTCTAGCATAATCAAGAAAGAGCGTTAGTTATGATATCCGAATGCTTACCTTAACTAGTTAATGTTTATGCACCTACTTGGTTATCTCATCGCAAATACGGTGCTCCATGGATTGAACATTCTCACATAAGAAGTACAATTTGGTGTTCCTGTCCCTGGATATAGCCATAAGTTCTCTAAAGATTCTAAAAAATTCTAGGAATAATTTAGGGTGGGGCACCTGGAGACAGGGGCACCTGGAGACAGTCGCGATATCTGGAAATGTTTGAATTTTCGCGCCATCGCGTCCTGACAGGAAGATGGGAAACGGTCCGTAAACCACTTTCAGAAAGGACGGTGGTTGTCATCGAAGCGGTTGTGGAGTACTTGGCTGTCAAACTTTATGTCTACCCAAAACACGTAAAAGTAAAAATTTGATTTTTTCTTCAAAGCTTCATATTGGTCAGTAAGAATTGTCATAAAAATTAGATGAAAATATCAACAGATTCTGTGATTTGTGAGCTTTCAAATGGCTCAAAAACATGTTGAGTCAGATCACAAGGGTTGTGATGAGCAGCGTCATAACGTCGATGTGTCTCGTGGGGCACGTAGAAACAATTTTTGTGGGGCACCTGGAGACACCTTAATTTATGTCCAAATGTTTTTAAAATCACGTGATTATCAAAAACTAATGCCAAAAAATGTTTACAGAAATGGTCCGCAACTACAAACCTAAGACAGACAGGGGTAAATTTGGAGAGGGCAACATAAAGGCAGCCATATAAGCAGAAAAGGGAGGCCTCTCATTGAGAATAGAAATTTTGAAATTTTATGTTGACTTTAATTTAAGTATGTAACAAGATGTTATATTTAAATGTGCTAAAACTATTATCAGGTGATATTTTTACTTTTATTTTATGTTGACTTAACTGTGAGTAGCATACCTAACAAAATGTTACTTGTAATTACCAAGGCAGAACTGGGCCATTCTTTTAGTGTTATGGGGAGGAAGGGGAGGGGGTGGAACATGCTATTTTGGCAATAAACTGCACTATTTTTAGTTGCTAGAGTCAAATTTGATGGCTGTCTCCAAGTGCCCCACGGCTGTCTCCAGGTGCCCCAGGGGTGGGGCACCTGGAGACATAGTGCATCCTGCACTCAACACACCACCATACCTAAACCGTTCAAAATTTTCCAACAAACAAAACTGATCCAGTTACTTCTAAGTTAGGGCTTTCACCTCGTCTCTCAAACGCGATCCTAACTTAAAAATCCACTGAGTAGTGGGTGAAAATAGGCGAAATGTCTCCAGGTGCCCCACTCTCCCCTACCATTTTTACCTTCAGAATAACAAGAGGCACACAGAACTGTATATGACTGCCATTTAGAAATAATGTTTCATATATTTGCAAACCATATACCTGCAAAACCTTTACGATCAGGGTTTGCTGAACTGAAGTCTTGACAAGGTGGCGCAGCTAATAATAGGTCAATTCCTCCGAGTGACCTCAAAACATCTGATGTTACTTTCGTGACACATCCTATTTGCTGAACCTCATCACCTAAATTATATTTGGATAGTTTGAGAGCATTTTCATCAACCTCGGAGGAAAAATACGCTCCAACAGCTATTTTCAGTTGTTTAAGAGAGAAACGGCCAACACTGAGGCCATCAAACAAGGAGAGTACTCTGGTCTCCTTGAGCTTATTTCATCAAATCCACAGAAATACTGAAAGCAAAAATATCTATGATTAAAACACAATGGACATGTTATCTATTATTATCGAGAGACAAATAAGAGTTCCAACAGGCTAATTTAAGGTAGCCATAACCATTTTCGTTTAGGCATTTGTACAGAAAATTCAATAAACTCATTGTATTAGCTAGGTAGGTTATCTTCATACAGGGAACTGTGGTTCCTGCATTTCATCATCTGTCTCCAGTGGGAGAATATTCTCGACCTGCTCCATTTGCACTTCTCCACAATTTTCCTGTGTAGTTCTAAATAATCATTATAAAAATCAGATCCGAATATATACTCAAGTTTACCTTCACAGAACCGTGAAAATAGTAAATTGTGAGTTGGAAAGCCATAAACCTCTAGATGAATAGAAATTACCTGTACGGCCTCTGACCCTTGCGTAATTACCCTATCTGTTTTCTGTAGCCTTTTCTCCTTCCTCGAGGCTTCCTTGGATAACGGGGCATCGTGTTGCAGGTGATTAGCAAGAAACCGATAATTGACTAATTTCCTGCTGCAGTTCTGAGGCACTGTAATGTAACAACTACTGTAGTAAATTATCAAGCTGACAGATAGGACTAGCTATATGTACGCCAGACCACGTCTCGCGTAAC